TATTTTATGACATTTTTGTGTTTGCAATAATGTAATTCATTTATTACTTATCTGTTTATCTAATTAATTATTAATTAAAACTTGGATCCCAGAACACTAACAAAAGAGAATGCACATGGTTGGGCATTGACTGCACCAGAGATTTCATTACATATTTGTAAAACATTATATATCATCATAGCTTTTCACATTTTTAATTACTATTTTTGGAATCCTAATTTGATGTCCTGTCCATTTTAGATGGCATGCCCTGGGGAAGGTATTTTAACAGACCTTGCCAAGAGATTGATAGATAAAACCATAAAAGAAGTTAATTACTTTCGTCATTTCGAGACTCATGATCATGAGTTTGATGGGGACAATCAACTTTTGATCAGAAGATTAGAGAAAGTTCAAAAGGATGTTGACGATGCCAAAAGTAATGGGCATCAAGTTGAAGGTGAAGTTCAAGGTTGGGTAACGGAAGCTGATAATCTAATTCAAATGAATGCTGAAATTAGACAGACAAGGTTTGATAGCTGGTGTTTTCTTAGGAAATATCGACAAGGCAAGAGATTGGCACAAAGGGCGCAAGTCATTAAAGTTCACATCCAAAAATGTAACTTTCAAAGAGTGGCTCGTCCAGGTAAACTTCCAGGTATGAAGTACCATGCTTCAAAAGACTTCATTGATTTTGAGAGTAGGAAGACAAAATTCAAGGAACTTGTGGATGCTTTAGAAGATGGAAATCATTACATGATTGGATTGCAAGGGATGGGGGGAACAGGCAAAACCACATTGGCAACACAAGTGGGAAAGCAAGTTGAAGAATCCAAAGCATTTGAGAAAGTCATCTTTGTTGTTGTGTCTAATCCTCCAGATGTCAACAAGATTTGAGGCGACATTGCAAGGGAGTTAAGTTTGCATTTAGAGGAAAGAGTTGAAGCAGATCACTCAAAGCATTTGTGGTCTAGAATTTTTGATGATAAAAAAAAATTACTTATAATATTAGATGATGTGTGGGAGAAGCTGGACCTCACCGAAATTGGGATTCCATCTGGACTTGATCACAAGAATTGTTATGTTTTGATAACCACTCGTCATTCAAAAGTTTGTCAACAAATGAGATGCCAACAAGTAGTTCTCTTACACACATTGGGTGATGAGGATGCAGTGCATCTCTTTCTGTATCATGCTAGAAGTTGTGATGATGATGATCCTTCAAGGAATAATTTAGAGAGTCTTGCAAGAGATTTTGTGAAGGAGTGTGGAGGATTACCAATTGCAATTGTGGCTCTAGCTAGCACATTAAAAAATTGGCCTATTGGTGAATGGAATGTGGCCTTGACAACCTTGCAAAATTATAAGCCAATTGTCGAAGTTGATGAAGATTTGGTGAATGTTTACAAATGCTTGGAATTAAGCTATGATAGATTAAATAATGGGAAGGCCCAAAAGCTCCTTTTATTGTGTTCTATTTTCCCATAAGACTATGAATTTTCATTAAATCTCATTATTAGACTTGGTATAGGGTCAGGAATTTTTGGGGAAGTTAATGACTATTGTGCAGCAAGAAGCCAACCACTTGCAGTGAAAAATGAACTCGTAGCTTCTTCTTTGCTACTGAAGGTTGAGAACAAAGAATGTGCAAAGATGCATGACTTGGTTCGTGAAGTAGTCCAATGGAAAGCAAAGGATGATATTCAAGTGATTATGAATACAAAAACAACTTTTGAAGCAACCAAGCTATTTGTGTTTTGGAGCATTAATGATTTTCTTGATCCTCAGTTTGATGGTACGAAAGTTGATATTCTACTTCTTTGGATTAGTGGAAATACTTTGAAAAAAGATGCAAACGCATTCTTTGCAAGGATGTCACACCTCAAGATTCTGTTTTTGCTCAATCAATATGACAGAAAAGTTCCCACTCCGTTGTTGTCGCAATCACTTGTTTCATTAAAAAATATTCAAACTCTTATCTTGGATGGTTGCGAAATAGGCAACTTCTCAGTTTTGAAGAATTTACAGGGTCTTGTGACACTTGAGATGGAAAGTTGTCTAATTATTGAATTATCCCAAGACATCATGGAACTAAAGATGTTGAGATTGTTGGGGTTTAAGAAATGTGAAATTCAAAAGAACAATCCCCTTCAAGTGATTGAAAGATGTTCACAATTGGAAGAATTGCATTTTGTTGAGAATTACAGTATTGAGGATTGGTACAAAGAAAGTGAAGATCAAATTGCTCCCCATATATCTTCTTCTAGATTGCAAATGTTTTCAATTGCTTGTAATGGTTTTAAACGTTTTGCTGATGATGATAATGGCCTATTAAAATGCTTCAATTCGGAACATGTGGAAGATTTAATATCATAACCCATGTTTAAGTACCTTGTGCGTAGAGCAGAAGTTCTTGAGCTGGGGAATTTAAAACAAAGAGGAGGGAAAAGTCTTGTCCCTGACATTATTCCTGTGGAAGAGGGAGGCAAGGATAATTTAATCAAGCTACATATGTATGATATGGATGTGAAAGAATTATGTTGCGGTCCTACGCCTTCTAGGTTTCTTGAGAAGTTACAGATTTTAAAGTTAGATGGTTGTAGGGAACTGCAAAATATATTCTTAGACGCAAATCTCAAGCTACCTCTTCTGAGGGTATTTGAATTGAAAGATTGCCCAATGTTCCAACCATCAATTTTCAAACCCTTTTTTGCTCGAAGTCTTGGGAAATTAGAAGAATTAATAATTGAAAGTTTCACAGAGCTAAAAAGTTTAATTGCAGACGAGAGTTCAGAAGAAGAAATGAGGGTTGTTGATTATCAAAAGCATCATGGCTTATTGTTTCCTGCATTAGAGTCTCTTCAAATTAAAAGATGTGGCAAATTAGAAGTGGTATCATCATTTCTTCTAGCTGGAGACCTTCCCAGGTTGAAAGATTTAGACATATATGATTGTGCGGAGCTAAAATACATATTTGGTGAATATAAAGATAAAGATAATGCGGGCCAAGTTGTGCAACAGGAAATCATGCTCCCTTTACTAACACAAGTGACACTTCGGAGCGTACCAAGTTTCGTTAACATATTTCAAAAATGCAAGACTTGTGTGCCAAGGCCGCCTCATATTTTGAAAGAAGATTCGAAGGAGAGACATAAGAACTCTTAAGACAAGTGCTTTCTCATGGGCTCATGGTTGTTGTTTTCTGGCCCTAACTAAAGACAGTAATATTGGAGTTTCTAATGCCCCTTACTGGAAGACTGCACAATCTCACAGGTATACTACTTTGGGCTTGCTCTTTTTATTCAACATTTATGTTTATGTTTTTTTTTTAATGGCAAAAGGTGATATTTGATTTATTAAACTTTCATTTTATTAGCATATGGTCCATGAATGGTTTATAGATATTTTTCTCTTTTTTAAGACACGTAGATCTAATAATGGACGGGAGATGTGGTAAGAGAAGCTTTAGAGAAATGGTGAGGGAAAAAATGATAGGTCGTGTTTGTTTTTATCTGTAGTTTCTTTTCTTTTAGAAATATACTATAGTCGTAATAGGTTATGTTTATAGTTGTTTTTATTTATAGATATTTTTTTATACCAATATAATTTTATGTATGGGTTCCTTAGTATTAAGTTTTGATAAAATGTACCTTTACAGTAATTTAATTATTTTTTAATTAAAAAAATCAATTAATATTTAAGGTTAATTTTTGTCAAAAATTAGTCTATATTTAAGTACCGATGGTAACTCACTAAATGATTTCCTTGAGGTTTGTCCTTGTACATGAGATAAAGCTCAAAACCATCAAAAAAAGAATTCTTCTATGTATTAATTGAAAAAGTAATTTTATATTTGTGTAATTACTCAATTTTCCTACAATTTTAATTTTGAAAAATAAAATAAGTCTTTATCAAAATTAATAAAACAGTTATATTTTCTTAAGTGCACTAATAAGTTAAGGAATATATATACTATCAGAACACAAACACTTATGGCTTTCGTCTTGGGTTGGAATTACACAGACTTGATCTTTCTATTTCAGTAACAAGTAAAGAGAAAAATAAATATTCACACGCACACACAAATAGTGATAACAGGTATATCATTAACACTTGTGTCCCGTTTGGTATGATGGAAGAGTTTTTGATAGAAGTAGAGGTAAAAATAGAAGTGGAACATCGAAGCAACACGGAGGGGGAAATGATAACTGGAAGTGGGTGCTGGAAGAGAACATCGGAGGGGGAGGATAGGGGAAAAATATTGTCATATTATGATAGGTAAGATTGTCAATTAACAAAATAATTGAGGATAGAATGGTCATAAAATTTCAGTTCTTGAAAACTCATCCTAGCGTACCCAAGGAACCCAGTTCCATCAAGGGGCATGGGAGTTGTTAGTTGAATACTACTTCCGATCCTTAATATAAGACCCCGTTTGATTTTTATGTTGGTCCTAAATATAAGACCCCAATTCATTTTGTCTCTCATATTTACTCAATTTTATTCAAGATAGTCCTTCTAATAATTATTGTTTTAGCCAATACACTTGATTAATAATGATATTTTAGGAAAAACAACACATATTCATTACAAATAACTAACGTAACTAAATTTCTTAATCTCTCCAAATTAGTCAACTGGGTCTTATAATTAGGACCGAAGGTAGTATCTTATAAATCACACCTTAAAATGCCCAGTGTTATAATACCTGATGCTTGACATATTTATTTTGTATTTCATATATGTTATGGTCCATTAATAGCTGTGATGTTTTTAATTAGATTGTTGTTGAGAAATAGGATTAGATGATTGTAGAAAGTGATTAGTTATATAATTAAGTTGAATCTAAGAGAAGTGATTGGTTGTAGGAATCATGTGCACTAAGTGAAAGGATTGAAACATTTCATTCAGCTGAGTGTCTTATAAGACAACCATGCAGCCTACAAAATATAAGGCAGATGACACTTACAAAATGTTCAAAATTAAAGACACTATTCAGTGTATCCATTGCCACAACCATCATGTTGGAGAAGCTGCATGTTGCTTGGTGTGAAGAATTGAAGCACATTATAACAAATGAGGCAGAGGATGATGATGATGTCCATCTGAACTGCGCCTCCATCTTCCCAAAACTACAAAGCCTCACTGTTCGGCGTTGCAATAAATTGGAATTTATATTTCCATCCACTCTTTCCAGAGGTCTCCAAAAATTAAAATATATAGATATCTTGAGAGCTCATAAACTGAAATATGTTTTTGGCAAATACGATGAAGAAGAGTGTCTATCAAATGAGCATGAAAATAATGAGCCTCACATCCATCTTCCAGCATTGGAATCACTAGAACTCTCAAGAGTACCAAATATGATCAGCATTGGTATCAAGAAACATCAACCAGAGTGCCCATCTCTACAAATTGTGGAAGCGCCAAAGGTACATAACTATTTTTAATTCATTATTTAATAGCGTCCCAATCTTGCTCTGTTTTTTTTTTTATGAAAATATATTTTATCTATTTATTCTCTTTTAAAAGTTTGACTTTAAACTTTTATATATAACTATTATGGGTCATGTGGCTTTCAGTTTATGTCAAAATGCGAATCAATATTTTTATGCATCTTGTATAAGGATTATTTTATACTCATAGAAGACAAACACGTATGACTTCCGTCTTGGTTGTATATAGTAATTCTGCTCATTTTTAGTTAGTTTTTTTTTTTAAAAATTACTTTAGCTGGTACCTAACAGGAATCGAACCAAAACAATTTGATCTTTAAAATGCTCACACTCCTAATTTAATATTTATTATTTTGAAATATTTGTATTTGTTTGATGTCTCCTTTTATGCTCCAGTGTTACGGATAAACCGAGACAGGGGAATCTCCTCTATTTTTTTTTCAACTTTGTCATCATTATATAAAAACTAATGTCTTCTAAAATATTATTATAATCTTACTAAAAAAAAATACCTAAAGAAATTTAAACTATTAAATTTGATTTGAATAGTTCATAACTGTAGTGAAAAAGTGAGAAAAATTATGCTTTATAATCATAGTTTACAAATTACAACTGAAAAATGATAAGATTAAATTTTAACCATTTTAACTTATTTATATATTTTTATATAAAATTTGAATAATATTGTTATAAAATTTTAAATCTATACCAATTGCTCAATTTTATATTCATGTAATTACTCGATTTTCCTACAACTCTAATATTGATTAATGAGATAAGCCTTTATTAAAATTAATAAAGCAATTGTATTATTTTTTTAAGTGCACTAAATTAAAGATTAAATATATTATCCGATATTATATATTGTGGGGTTACATGCACCCTAACCGTTTTTGAATGGCCAAAAAGAAATTATGTTGGTTTAAAATTTGATGTCTATTTTGTACCTCAGAGTTTTATATAAAGTGAAGTAATATATTAATTATTACACTAAATTTAATGTCAACTTCTCTAACTCTGATCTTTTTATTTCAGTTTAAACCAAAATGCAGTTTATCAATATTTTTATTTTGTATAAAGATTATATGTAATAAATTAGATATTGTTAACAAAATATTTAAACATTCTCAAAATAATGAAGACTTTCATATAATTTTCCTATGGAGACATGTACAATTAATTATGTCAAAGTGATTCGGCTTTACTTCTATAAAGATTTCAAATTTGAATTTAAAATATTTCCCAAAAATAACAATGTGTTTGTGTTTTGTGGGTGAATGTGTGTCTATTTCATAAGCACAAGGGATAGAAATAGAGAACATTATTTTAAATTGTTATCAAAATAGATAAAATTATTTTAAATTTTGAGTTGCTTTTTTGTGAAAACGTATTGTAGGAAATTAAGAAGCACATAGAAGATGTGAGAAGTGAGGGAGCAAAGGAATCTGAAATACAAGAGATTGTTAACATCGAAAGACCACTACTCACTCCAAGTGTGGGCTTCCAACATGTTCTCAACTTCAACAATCTGAAAAAAATAACAATCGTGGGAAACCAAAAGTTGAAGATTTTGTTCTCTATCTCTGCTTGCAGAAACCTATCACAGTTGTCTCAACTACATGTAAGCTGACAACTCTTGACGTAAGACACTCCAATATAGAAGAGGTTCTTAATTTGGAAGGAGTGGAAATTGAAGGTCCATTCATGACTTTAAGCATTGCAACGATGCGGTTGGAAAATCTAAGTGAGTTAAGGCATACATTCAGGGGTCCCAAGTATATTTTGAGCCTCCCCAATCTTCAAGAACTAAACATCACAGCATGTAAAAAGCTAACAGCAATATTCTGTGTCTCAGTAGTGAAAAACCTCCCACAATTATCCTATTTGAGTATAAAAGAATGTGACGAATTGGTTGACATCATTGGAGAGAGTGATGGGGATCATTTGCATCAACTTTATTTCCCAGTGTTAAAGAAAATTTACATCAAGTGTTGTGATAGCTTGAAATTCCTTTTCTCTATCTCAACATGTGGGATGTTTCCAAAGTTGGAGGCCTTGGAAATAAAAGAAGCCTCTGAGTTAGAGCAAGTGTTTATATACAAACAAGATGATATGCGGAAGATGGCAAAAACGGAAGAAGTATTTCCAAAGCTATCAAGTGTAACACTTGAAAAACTCCCAAGGCTTATTTCTATTTGTGAGGGGATTGATTTTAAGGATATGCGATATTGTAGAGTGGAAGATTGCCCAAAATATCAAGGTACAAATCCAGAAAAAATCTTTTAATAATTGCTACTGTTTTTATGAATATTAATGAGATTGAAAATTCTATTGCAGAAACTAGTCAAATCCAAAAAGAGCCTCAAAATGGGAATTCAAAAAATCAAGCAACAACAAGAAGTGTTTTGCCTGAATTTGCAAAGGTATATATATTAGACTAATCATCAAAAGAACAAAAAAAATCATTTTTTTTTGGTATTTTCTTTTACTAGTGAATTTAACCTGTCCATAAGTTGATTACTGTAACTAACTTACTTATTAATTATGGTGTTGGTCAGAGCTCAGAGGAAGCAATGAAGAGAAGTGTTGAAGAAGTTGGATCATCAATGGTACATCACCATATCTTTCTACACACACAAGAGCATAGTTTTTCCGCACCAATATAAAACTGATAGCATGTTTAGTACGTCTTCCAGTACCAATAGAACAAATGTAAACCATATATATAGTCTCAACTTTAGTTTGATTATTTATAAACTACTCCTCCGGTCCTTAATATAAGACCCATTTAACTAATTTGATTAGATTAAGGAAGTTAGGTAAGTTAGTTAATTATAAGAAAAGTGACACATTTTTCCTAAAATACCATAATCATCTTTTTTTTAATACCCTCTCTCCCTCTTCTACTTGATTATGGTTGAGGGAGTATCCATAGGGGTAATTTAGAGAAAAATGATAAATATGAAAAATGGGTCTTATATCTAGGACCAAAACCAACTCAAGAATTATGTCTTATATTAAGGACCAGAGGAGTGACATATTTTTAGGAAAGGAATTGAACATTGAACAAAAAAAAAAATCCATGAACTAATGAAGTTCCCCCAGGTGAAATACCTCGTTACATCTTTTGCTGTAATTCAGAACTATAAAGAAACAGAGAAGAGAAGGAAGTTGGCAGAGTAGCTCCTAATCCTTCTTCAAAGATAAGTTCAATAAATTGATGAAGTTGCTTTATTAAACAGATGTCATCGTTTGATGTTATTCAGATATCAGAAACAAGGGAAAAAGTTAGAGGAATGGCCTCAGAGTCATCAGCGACAACGACTTCATCAAGTTCAAGTTCAAAGGTGATCAAAATGACATCTCCAAGCTCTTCATCTATTATTATTAACTTGAAAAAAGTTGCCATTTGCGTTCAGACCAAGTCTTTTGTGAATACTACCAGTATGGTAACATTTTTTTTTTTTTAATCTTGTTTAACAAAATTTGTCCTCCAATATTTACTCAAAGTTCACAAACAGAGAAAAAGGCTGTTAGAAGTAGTGATGGATGTACGGCGAAAACCACATAACAGAACTCTGTTATATATTATTGACAGGAACTTGGGTTATTGTGGATGAAGGGAGAAAAGAACAGTGATTTTAGAAGTACATAATAATTTGAAACTTATAGCCTAGGAATCGTATGTATATTAAGCTCAGTAAAAAAAAAAAAAAAAAGAACAGGGGTTTTAAATGAAATATTTAATTATCTGATGAAGCTGAGGTAATAACTTCATCAACTCATTCATAAGTTTAAAGTTAATTATTGAAGATGTGAAAAAAAAAAATCACAAATATCTAATATATGTTGTTGAGTTGAAAGATCAGACTTATGTGCACATATTATATATATATATATATATTTATAAAAGCAAAGCTATTCCAAGGATAAAAAGTATCTTTTCTCTGTTGCAGATTACAGAAGAGACATTACTCAAAATTCAAGTCAAGAATCCTACGCTAGCTTCAGTAAAACAAGCATCAGGAAATTTAGCAGCTAAATCTCAACTGAGAGGGACATCTTTACAAGTAAGTTTATATATAGATCACTTAAGTGATTTCGACATGATAAGACTAGAAACTTGCCAAAATGGTTTTCTGCTAATTATTTAATATTTTAAATAGGAATTGGAGGATGAACACCGAACAAGCGAATCAACTACACAGCTCCAACAAGAGGTTCTTGCACAAACAAAAACCACTAAAGCTTCTCATAAAACCTATGTGCCATTTGATGATAACGTAGGTTATAAGCATAGAGGACTAAGTTATTTGCAAGTTTGATCATTACAATATATGATAACGTAGTTCTTTATTCATTTGTTGATTTGGATTTGACGCCATCAAAATCAAGAAGCAAAACAAGCATGACACACCAACAGATTCTTTCATATCTTTTGGTATTTTTGCAGTGGGTTACTTCCTCAATTGTTTCGCAAGGTGAAGGCTCGCAATGTAGTCCATCTACATTGGTTAGTTCAGGAAGCTCATCATTTTAAACTCATAGAATGTTTTCATTTATGGAGGAGCACAATTGGAAGAGAAATTTCTTTGTGTTTTCTAGGTTGCTAGCGTGAAAGAAACACATGAGCAAGGCTCTCAAGAGGATGATGCAACAGAGGAAGCCGCAACAGCAGGTCAATCAGCTGATTCAGATTCAAGGAAGAAAACCCAAGTATCACCCATTACTGAACAAGTAAATGCATTATAGTTACTAGGAAAAAATGCATTATCCTTGTTCATATACCTATACCATATGAATTATGAAGTTGCTAGATGCTTTTTTCCTTTTACTTTTACTTTTTGCCTAGTTATATCTTGTGATGTTATTCAGAGCTCAGAAGAAACAGAGAAAGAAGCCATTAGAATATCAATGGCTCCAATTTTGACAAATTTAGAGTCAATCAGATTGACATTTCCAATCACTGTTTATTACTGATATAAAATGATTTTAAGTGTGGTGATCAATATCTTTTTAATGTATGAAAAGGTTATAAATGTTAATTCTCATTTGTATTCCTTTTTAATGATTAATCAACATCCAATGACTAACCAACAAGCTTTTGCATTCTTAATTCTTGAACATTGAAAAATGGAACTCGTACACTTGTACATTTTTGAAGCGTCTATCACAACAGTGCAAAAGCTGAGGGTAATACTCCTACACTTATATAACACGTGAAACTGAAACTTATTTCGTCTCACTTTTAGATTACTGAAAGCATCAAAGATACCACTCAACAAGGTCTTGAAAAGAATTATGTAAAAGATGATGCCATGACCGCAGTTGGATCGACTAATTCAGATTCAAGGAATCGATCTACAGGACCAATTGATAATCTCTCTGGAAAAGATTCTGCACTAGTAAGTTTGTTACCTTCTTCTAATTATAGAAATTGAAGTTTTCGGTATGATGATTTTACTCTTACTCTGCATAAGTTGGTTTGCATGTTCACATGTCGACGTCTGTTAGAGTGCATAAGCCATTTCGTTGTATGCAGACTGTTACAAAAACAGGAGATCGCACAAGTATTCAAGAGGAATCTGAATCAGAGAAGCCTATAAAAGCGATCGCTTCCCGAGTCATTACTTCTCTTCATCTCCGTAAGCTGAATCAGATTATACTTTCTTTTTTGTTGCTCATTCTTTTGAACCGTTTGCTGACTTTTTGGGCTGTGACAGAATCAGAAATTGCTGATGATACTGGCACTTCATCTCATAAATTGGGAGTTTGCGAAATTTTCCAACTTGTGGAGCTAAAAGATGGTGAAGCGGCTTTACTTGCTCAAGCACTCGAACGATATCCTCAACTATTGCTGCCTCAGGAACATCGCTCACAACGCATGATAGCCTGGTCCTACCGAGTGCTGGTAGATATTTTGGTGGTGCTGGCTACCAAGACTCCTTGTAGCATCACAAGTTCAGAAAAGACAACTTTGGAGGCTAGCTTATGTGATGCAACCTTGCTTGGGTTCGACAAAGAGTGGGTTGATTCGGTTCGGTCTAGAGTTTTTGGTGTTGACATGTCTGATGTGTTGGCAGCAGAAGAGGAAATTAAGGTGAAGGAGGCCGAGCTGGAGACGTGTGACATTGCCTTGGAACAAGTTCGAAAGCAAAGAGTAGAAGCCAGAGAGCGACTTGCAGTGACACGAAGACAGTTGGAGATGGCGCAAACTGAGTTTGAAGCAACTGATTCTCAACTGTCGAGTCTATTGGAAGGTCGCAAGAAGTTGACTACTGAGATAACAGAGTTTAGAGAAATAATAAGTGCCAAGCATAGACCCTTTGGCATTTAATTGTGCGTTTGATTTTTAGTTTTTGTTATTTCGTTTCTGTTTCTAAGGACACTAGAATTCGGAGCAGACCATAATGCATATGATACGGACAAAGACTTGCCTATGTTCAAACCAATAACAGCAGGACAGAGTTTGGAGTCTCTGATGTATGCATAATTAAATTTGGCCTTTATATTTGCTGGATGATCCATATCTATTGTTGGTAATTATTTTCAGTTCAGACAAGCTACCATATTTACAAGACAAGAACCCACATACCTATCTAATATTTATTATCCTCAAGCATACGCAAATTGAACAGATATCAATTTTTCTTTTTAGCTAGAACTGTGTGCCAGTGAAATAAGATAAAATAAATACAATTTAGCCTTTGCTCTTAATATCCCGGGGAGGGACTTGATTTTATTGTTGATGAACTATATTTCTTTTCTTTTTTGTCCAAAAAGAATTCCATGCTATTATTAATCACCAAAAACAATTCAAAGTACAAACACCAAAAGTCAAAGCCAAATTACAGAACTCTCAAAAATACTAACACTTCAATCCTAGCACAACAAACTCACCAAAATAAACCAGGGGTAAAAACAAAAAAAATATCCAACACAAAAAAAAAAGTATACAAATTACCCAATTCCACTTGGATCTAAAACATCACTACGACAGGCATGGTGATTACCACATAACTCGGCCGTATCAGCAAGCAATGAAAAATCAGAAACACTCATTGAATTTTTTTTTTGAGATAATAATTCATGAATTTTATCTGCACACTGCCACTCACAAGTCTTCTTTTTCCTCCCTGCCATCAAAACGTACAACTCTTCACAAGGTTTTCTATTCAATTTATTCACAGCCATGAGACCTTCCTTCAACGCCAAGCATTCAGCCATGAAGGGAGAATATGCCATAACTTTCTTTCCTTCCTAACCCTCCAATGAATTTTCCATCTTCACTCTTCAGTCCTACAAATCACTCCCACACCTGTAGAATTTAAGTCCTTAATGAAAGATCCGTCCTCATTTATTTTAATCACACCTTCAGCTGGAGCCATCCATTGCAACAATCTTTTCTTATCTCAATTTGTAACTTTTCTTAAATCTCACTCTTATATCTTCCTTCACAGCGCAATTTCTAGATGTTCCAGCAAGTCATAGCAATGATAGGTCTCCCCTCATCATCCAACCCGCTATCATTACTAAACACTTCCAGTAACCAGTGATAAGTACTCTTGAAACCTTCCTTTTGACATTTGATGCCCAAGATACTACCAAACCAGCATGCTTGAGCCCATGGGCGAAAAAATAGTACATGCTTATAACTTTCGGTCTCTTCATAGAAAATGGGACAAAACTAATTATCCTCCGCACAAAGTGCTTTACCTTAAAAGGAACATTTAAATGCCAAATATCTTTCCATAGTGTTTCTGGTATCTGCAATGAGCTTCTCTTGATATATAATAACCAGACTTTACAGAATATTTGCCATCTTTTAGGGATCCAAATAGCACAATCATCAAGTCTGTTACTAGATAATGGAATTTTTAGAATTTGTTCCTTCTCTACTATAGAAATACAAGCTTCTATGGCGCTTAGATTCCACCCGTCTCCCTCAATCAGCTCCTGCACTCTCATATTCGAGTTAACTCCTTCCCCTGTCGTACTCCTAAGTTTAGCCTCTGGTAAACCCGGAATCCATTTATGCTGCCAGACCCTTACTGAAGAATCCACACCCACTTTCCAACATATGTTTTTCAACAAGAACTTTCTACCTTGCAAGATACTGCTACAACACCAAGAGGCTCTCCTACCCTTTTTAGCTTCAAAAAATTCTTGTTTTAGGAAAATATATTCCTTTCAAAATCCTGCACCAAAGGTCATCAGGATTTAAAAACAATCTCCAAGCCGTTTTAGCAAGGAGAGCCTTGTTGAGATCTTGAAAATCTCTGAAGCCTAGTTCTCGTTCCTTCTTTGAAACATAAGATAGTCCCATCTTTTCAAATGAATTTTACCTCTTTCTTCTTTATTATTTCCCCACCAAAAATCTGTAATCAACATGTCCAGATCTTTGCAAACTTTCTTAGGAAAAGAAGAACAATTCATTGGATATATTGGAATTGCATTTACTACAGCCTTAATCAAAACTTCACGTCCAGCAAAAGTAAGTAACTTTTGCTTCCATCCCTGTACCTTCAACCCCACCTTATTCCGGACAAAAGCCAACGCAGCAGCTTTCGAACGTTCCCAAACCATGGGCAGACCCAAATATTTTCCAGGTTGACCAGTACCCTTAATTTGCAAAATATCTGACACCTCTTTGTTTTTTTTCTGATGTTGCATTCTCAGAGAGGAATAAACAAGATTTATCCAGGTTCAACTCTTGCCCAGAAGCTTCACAATAAACCCGCAGAATCCTCCCCAACACTTTACAATTATTCTTCTCAGCATTAATAAAAAATAGAGCATCATCCGCAACAAACAATGCCATAAAACAGGACACCTTTGTTCTCCACATGGTACTGAATCATCTGGGACAATACATCAGCCACAATAATAAAGAGATAAGGTGAAATTGGGTCACCTTGCCTTGTGCCCCTACCTGGAATGAAATTTGAAACGGACCTTCCTCCTATCATCAATTCAAATTCAACTGAAGAAACATACTCCATTATCCACTGCACCCATGATACACAATAACCCATTCTAAGTAGCACGTGTCTCAAAAAATTCCCCTCTACACGATCATAGGCTTTACTCATGTCTGCCTTAAGAGCTACCTCCACTCTATTTCCACTCTTTCGGCCTTTTAAGTAATGAAAAGCCTCATGTACAACTATAATCTTATCGTGAGCCATTCTGTCCGAGATGAAGGCTCTTTGCTGAGGTGTAATACATTTCATCATCAACTCTCTCATTCTGTTCATCAAAATCTTTGAAATGATCTCATATGCCATATTACACAACCCTATTGGTCTAAAATGATTCACATTTTCAGGCTTATCAATCTTAGGGACTAAAACAATGTTGGTTTTATTTATGCCCCTTAAACTACAGCCTTTCTCAAAGAACTCATATATCAGATTACAAACATCATTCTTAATAACAGACCAAGAAGATTGGTAAAACAAGCCTGAAAATCCATCAAGGCCAGGGGTCTTTGTAGCACCAAGCTGAAATGCTGTACTTCGGATCTCTTCCTCATTAACTGGGGCTGTAAGCGTTTGATTATCATCATCAGATATCACCCTTGTCACATACTGCAATGCACTGTCCATATTTTGAGGCTCTGTAGCCGTGAATAGATCTGCATAGAACTTTGAGAATTCAGCATCTATATCTTCTGATTTCTCAAGCCAGTCCCCACTGCTAGACTTCAATCTCAACAACCTATTCCTATTTCTTCTCTGAATAGTAGTATTGTGAAAAAACTGTGTGTTTCTATCTCCAAAGTTAATCCAATTTACACGTGCCCTTTGCAACCAATACATCTCCTCTCTATCCCATAACTCCTCCATCCTCATGATGATCTCTTCAATTTCACCTTTCTTTTCTGCAGTTAGCTGCCCCTCTCTGCATATACTCAGTTTCTGCAGTACTTCATCTATGGCTTTCTTACTGTTTGGAAACTCAGTTTTTACTCACTTTATTAATTCCTTTCTGCGAGCGTTTAACCTTCTCTTCACCTTCTGCACCCCCAGCCGCTCCAGATTATGCACAGCATACCATCCCCTTCTCTCTGCTTCCTCATAATTTTCATGTTTCGTCCAGATGGCTTTAAATTTAAACCTTTTTTTTGGCTTTATGTAGCAACAATCAAGTAGTAACATATGATGATCCGAGCCAAAAGGTTCAATATGAAATACCACAGCTCTATTAAACACTTCTCTAAGCTCAACATTTGCCACACACCTGTCTAGTCTTTCTTTAACATGATCTTTTCCCATCCTACCATTATTCCATGTGAATCTTGCCCCTTTAAATTCCAGATCAATCAACTTACAATCTGACAACAACTTTTGAAAATTTAAAACTTTTCGAGCTGACATTGGCTGATCCCCTTCCTTTTCCGCCATAGACGCCAAGTCATTAAATGAATACAATGCATATCAATTTTTCATTCATATTCCCTGTTATTCTATTCTATCATTTCAATTCTATATTTATATATGCAAGATCAAAATCGTTGAAATCTCCCCTATACTGTAGGTGGTCGTTTTTCAACAACAGATGTAAGCTACAATTAATTAATGAAGTGGTAAGATTAATTAATGAGTGACTATAAGTCATTTAAATTATTGGTCTTTGGAGGTAAGGATAATTTTTCTCTATTTGTGGAATGTGTATAGGATCAAAATTTAAACAGCAAAAAGAAGATCAAGCGCTCATCAACACAAATGAAAAAAAAAAAAAGCTCTGCTCTGTTTCTTGTTCAATAGGACAGAGCTGGAAATTCCTTCTTTTTTTTTTTGCCTTTTTCTCTCTGTGTAATAGTAGTTGATTAGTTGGCAATATATTCAAACTCTCACTGCTCAATTTAATAGTAATAATTATTAAAAACCATACAGGCAAATTTTGTCATTTGTGCAAATTTATTTATGAAATTTTTTTAATTAAATTCCATTGAAATACCAAAATCTAAATGCAAACCTACACATCTAACAAACTTTTAACTGAGCCGAGAGGTCTGTTTGCCAATTTCTAAATGTTATTAAAAGACGAATACTCTTCTATTGTTAAAAATTAAAATTGACAGGAGGTTTAGACTTAATTTTAATTTTACTTATTTTAGTTGGCTTTAATTGAGCGTACATAAAATTATCACACCTCAATAATGGCAAGATAGACCAGAGGGTCACTAATCTGGCTGAACCTAATTTATCATATATATGTTATACTCCTCGGGTTTTAAATATAATATTTTTTGTAGTATAAATTACACTATACTACAAAATGGGTTTTATATTTAGAACTAAAGAAAGTACCTATCTATCCCTTTGTGTCAGA